TGGTATCAGCGCTCCTACCCATATCGTTGGACATGGTATAGCGATACAGGTACTGTGGCCAAGGAGATCGACCACATTCTTGTCAGCATTCGATGGAAGATCCTCCAGGCTGATAGTGGCTACCCTACGGGTCCACTTCAAAACTCCTTGTCCCTCCAGTGACCACTCTAGGGTGTTTCACTTGGACAGCCTGAGGGAGTAGGAGTGTGCCCGTGGGTTCGCCACGGCAATCTCTGATCGATTCACAGAACTCGAAAACCTGACGGACCCAGTTGCACTGTGCGAGTCCTTCAAGCACGAAACACTCGATGCAACACAGAAGTCCATTGGCATACGCCCGAGGGCAAGGCAGAATTCCATCTCCCTGGTGACATTGGAGGCCACTGAAGCCTGCCACATGGCTCGGCTGAATGGCAATCAGGACTTGCGTCGCTCTTTGGTGTGAAGAAGGGACAATGAACAGTTCATCAAGAATCTTGCTGAGGAGGTGGAAGGCCATTTCTTGGTAAATGACCTTCGCCCTGCCTACCAGGCCCTGAGAAAACTGAGCTCTAAGTCCTCCTCGCAGATGACTGCAGTCCATTTAATGGATGGACAGATCATCTCAGATCATGTTGGAGGTCGTGAACGTTTGGCTGAGTATTTTCAGCAGCTGTCTAGGTAGACCCTCCAACACTTAGCTTAGATGCAAGTGGTATCATAATCCCTGTGCCAGACCCACCCATCAATGAGGAACCTCCTACCATATCTGAGGTTAGGATTGCGATTTCCAAGTGATATCCATGTTGAACTGCTAAAGGCTAGGAAAAATAACAAGGCAAAGCTGATATATGTAAAGTACATGAATAACCCTAGTTTACGTCACTGGGTCGTACTGGATTACTGGATACTTTAATGAGGCAGTTTGCAACATAAAGAGTATGGTGAGTTTCTGTTTTGTTAGTCCATGATATGAGATATACGAAACTTCCTCTCTCTCTCTCTCTCTCTCTCTCTCTCTCTCTCTCTCTCTCTCTCTCTCTCTCTCTCTCTCTCTCTCTCTCTCTCTCTCTCTCTCACTCACTCACTCTCTCTCTCTCTCTCTCTCTCTCTCTCTCTCTCTCTCTCTCTCTCTCTCTCTCTCCGTCTCTCTCTCTCCGTCCATTTCACTTTCCCTTTCCTTCCGCTTCTCCATCTCCATCTGCCTTTTCCTCTTTCTGCCTTTCCCTTTTTCTCTCCTCATCCTTCTCCCTTTCCATTCCCATTCCTTCTCTCACTTATTCTCCTCCCTCTTCCTCTTCCTTTCCTTGTTTTTTTTCCATCTGTCTCTCCCATTTATTTCCCTCTCCCAGTTTTCTTCTCCCTCTCCCTCACCCTCACCTCCCTTTCCTTCTTCTTATTTATTCCTCTCCCTCTTCTTCCTCTTCTCCCTTTCCCTCTAACAAAGGAAGAAAATCAGACGTTAGGATGGACATGACGACGATCAAACAAGCAACGATATCTCGACATACATTTAGACACAACATGTTACTTTAAAAGTGCAAGGAATTATCAATCTTAGTAAAATGGACTATGCATATATATTTCAGTCATTCCAATATTCATCAGCCCTTTTACTTATGATTTTTTTTTTCATTGAGTTTAGTGCTTGATATGTAAACTTACAAATTGCCAGTGACAATAACTGGCAAGTTAAGGAAGTGACTAAACAGACTTTTCCTTCATATTTGCAAGTCATATTTTGTATTTGATTAAATCCAGATCCGTCAATAACTGCTATTTTTATACATTTCTTTACCTGAGTGTTCATATGCAAGTATAATATATAGACTATGCAGTCTGTTTTATTGCAGTATGCAGCATACCATGTAAAAACTATAATTAATGTACTACTACTACTAAAATATATACAATATATAACACTCCCCAAAAATTAAGTTGTAGTTTTTTATCTAATCTTTAGAAAACTATTAATCTGATCCATTTAAAAATTAAGCAGAAGAAATCAATAACACATCAGTTCACTTTGGAAGACACTTTTATTTTTAGCACATGGCAAAAAATTGTACAAGCTGATTTTCAAGTTACAATTACAAGCAAGACAACTATCAGATTTAGATAAATATTCATATTCAATATAACACTGAAAATATTTTTGGTTAAAAACTCAATGCATTGTATTTTCACCTATGAATGTCTGGTATGGAATGGATATTTCAAGTTTTATATGTCCCGATAGAAGCTACAATTTCTTCTTTTTTTTCTCTTCAGTTTGGTGATACACTAAGTTACTCATTATGTAGACCAAAACACAGATGACTAGTAGCTGATTGGTTGAGAGAGTCGCTGATGAACAGGCAATCCAATCTGCTGTACAAAAAGGTGTGCATACACAGTACAACAGGCATTTTGGTATACATGAACATTTTGGTTACACCATCCACTTTGGGATATTCTAAGCTACAAGAAATTACATTGCACATACATGATTTCTTGATGGCTAAATGCAAGAATAATTATATGTATTGATATTACATACCCAAGTTTATGAGAGCTTTTGTGTGTGTGTGTGTGTGTGTGTGTGTGTGTGTGTGTGTGTGTGTGTGTGTGTGTGTGTGTGTGTGTGTGTGTGTGTGTGTGTGTGTGTGTGTGTGTGTGTGTGTGTGTGTGTGTGTGTGTGTGTGTGTGTGTGTTTTCAAGTGTAATGTGCTTCTACACATACAAGTTATGTTGTAAAAAAAAAAAAAGAGAACAAATTTTACAATAAGTATGCTATGGTGCTGACTAGATCTTATTATGTCTTACTTAATAATGATTTGTCATTTTTAATAAAACTGTTCTTTAACTGATGTTCTAAAAAAGATTCTCTGGTTACTGTTTTATATATATATAACTTTCTGTTAGTGATATGGCAAAGATGAAATAATTTTTCAAGTAGTCTTTATGTACACTGGAATCTCGTGAATAAAAAACTCCCTTTATATACATGGAATAAAGATATTTAAAAAAAAGTAACTATATGAAGATGCACATAATTACATAAATAATACATTTTCATTAATTACAGTTACTTTACCATTGATAAACTCCACATAATTAAGACACCACAGTGATAAAAAAAAATCATTTAGGAATGTCATAGTTTATACAATGGAATTAGAGAATCATAGGTACACTTAGAACCATGAGTTATTTTTTTTTTCACTCAGCTGTTTTTTTTTTTTTAATGTTAACATTATTTTTACAACTGCACATTAACATGGAAAAGGGAACCTGTTATTTTTTCATGCCAATAATTCTTAAACTTCTTTTAACACTAGTAAAAAAGTACATATGATTACTTCACTTACCAGTACATACTACAGTGTAAATGAGTACGAGCAAGTGTGGAAGGCATGAAAAAGAGTATTTGTTTCAATATTACTTGCTTACATAACTTATTGTGCTGAAAATGGACACCTCACCTACAAGCAAAAATTATTTTTCTACAAAATAACTTTCCTGGATTGATGGCACTCCATATGAATAATTTTAAGGAATGCTTCTATATATTTATATGCATATATACACATGCATATATTATATATATATATTATATATATATATATATATATATATATATATATATATATATATATATATATATATATATATATATATATATACATATATATATATATGTATATGTATATATATATATATATATATATATATATATATATATATATATATATATATATATATATATATATATATAATATATATAATATATATAATATATATAATATATATAATATATATAATATATATAATATATATAATATATATAATATATATAATATATATAATATATATAATATATATAATATATATAATATATATATACATACATACATATATGCATCCATCCATCCATTCATATATATACATACATATATATTTTGTGCTTGCTAATGCACATTAGAAATGTGACAATGCTGCCTTTCAACATTAGATGAATGATAATCACAATAACAATAAAAAGGTAAAGATTAAATATAACAACAAATTTAAACCCTTGTTCTTGATTAATCAGCAATCAGTTATCTTTCATATCTGACATTTGAGGAAAACACAAAACCGTGTAACCAATATCAGACTTCCTTAAAATATATGCTATAAATGACCTGTCTTGCTTCTGAAAAAATAATGTCATATTATGCAAATTGTCAACAGAGGTAAGGAAAATTTGAAAATTTCCATTCGAGCTAAATAAATCATCATCTAAACATATGTATAATATATATATATATATGATATATATACAAAGATACAGATCTATCTTAGATGGAATCATATTTATACATTGGGCCATGTCTTTGTGCCTCCATCTAATGTTTTCACAGGCAGAATGGATTCTTAAAAAAAATCAAAATTGAATTACATCACACAGCCAATTTTTCTTCTGAAATATAAGCACTACTGTACACTATATCCTAATCATACAAGCTAGCATTAGTTTACATCTTTACAGAACTTGAGCTTTACATATGTGCTTTAAAATCCATTCTACCATTGTTAAGTTGAGCACATTACTTCCGTGCTTTACAATCAGTGGTCTGAAAAACATTGGGGGTGATTGCTATACCCCTACCATAACATAAATAAATATTCTCTTATCTGTGAAGAATAAATAACAAGGCTAGAACTTAGTTTCTATTTCTGGCGGATTCATATAAAAAAGTTGTAAGCCAGTTGGTAATGATAGTAAGTACTTTATCTAAAACAGATCAGTCATAGAACGCAAAGCTGTTTCCTATCCTTAGGAGACACCAGGACAACATACATCAGCCTCACAGTTGTATTTTTTAAAATTCATTATTAAAATTTCCTTGAATGAGACTGAAGGCAATTTTTAACATTCATCATAATGATCTCGGATTAAAATCTAATTTACATCTACTTTAGGTAATAAAATTGATTCAAACTGTACAGGAAATCACCCTATTTCATCAGCATGAGCATGCCTCTAAGGTGTATGG